GTTGTTGTTATACACATATATGTATATATATATTTGGATATATGATATATATCAGCTAGTGTGTTAGATGTTCATCGAATTGCTAATAACCGATGACCCCAAACTGAACCCGCTCGATGATGCATTCTCGCATACTACGCGGCTCTACTCGACTCAGCTCGCATGTAATTTGCAATTAATCAAAGTGAAAACCTTAACTATGATTACCAAGTGCGAATTAGCCAGCAAGTGCGCTAATTACAGAATTGACGTGCGGATCTATTGCGATCTGGCCTCACCAACTGGCCAATCCATTGGCCAATTAGCGCCAGTTCCTATCAATAACAGATTGCATTTTGACGTTTGCCTAACGCTAATGACTGCGTCTAGGGTAAGAGTTGTTAAACTGTAAACAATTCTAGGAAATTACGCCAATTATATTGAGCCCATTATATAAAAAATAAAGTTTTTCAAAATTTTACAATAAGCCGGGATTCAAATACGGAAATCAATAAATTTCCATTATACAAAATAAATCAAATTGATTTTTTTTTAAGTTTGCAAACATGACTATTAATATATTAATTATACACAAATACAAGTTATTAAAATGCCACTTAACATATAATCAAAGCGCAATTGTACTTGAATATATGAGAATTGCATAGAGAGGCTATAATTATTTTGAGCGTGGGAAATTATTGAACGACGAACATTCGAGAGAGATATTAGATTGCCAATTGCAGGGTATTCATAAGCAGGGTATTCACCAGATCCAACATCTAAAAAAAAAAAAACCGTTTCCAAACATTTTGTTTTATTTATTTTTATACGTATATTGAAAGGTCTTTTTTGTGTGTGTTTGGTGTCTCTTTTCTGTCCGTATATTCTGTATCGTTGTTGTGTCAAAGTGTGAGTTCAGCGGCCTTTGGCAAGGTCATCTGGCTAGGCGTACAATGGGAATGAGTTGACATCTCTTTGGGTGCTCTTAACAAAAGTTAGCTTGTTGCCATTGTTGCCCCAATGAGTCAAAGATTAACGGCAAATGAATTGTTAATGCGGAAACTGATAAAGCATCCCCAGACATACACACACAAAAAAAAACATATTAATAATATAAAATAGATGCGAAATATTGATAAAGGAAATTAGCAAATTAGCAACAAAAAAAATGCATAATTATAATTATAGTTTGGAAAATGCAACGTCAAGTTCAATGACATTATTTTGCATGCAAGCGAAAATTGCATTCGCCGACATTCAATAACTGTACTGCAATGCAATTTATATATAGATATTTTTGCTGACATTCAAAATGCATTTTTTATGCTCTAATCGATTGACGGATTTTCAGAATGGGCGTTAGATATACTTGAACAGCTGCCGGAAAGAAAGCTTCCGTTTTCAATTCAAGCAATTAGATTAGCCTGATTTTTTTCTTGTTAGTCTGAGTTTTTAGCAATTTAAATATGTTTATAAAAATAAAAAAACAAGTAAATGGAATCAAGATTTTATTGCACTTTAAGAGTAGATAAGGTTTGGGTATATAATTAACATTACCATTAACATTAACATTAAAATAAACATTTACATTATCATTTTCATAAATATCATTATCATTGTCGCTATCATTATTTATTTTATTATCATTGTCATTAAAGCAGTAGCACTGTGGACAGTCCTTAGTTAGAGCAAGTGGAAGGCCTTCACCTTGAAGATTCAAGCGGGATAACACTTAGCTACGAGGTAGGCGAGAGAGCGAGAGTGAGAGAGAGAGAAATGTTTCTTTTCAGTCGGTTAGTAGCAAAATCAGTGTGATACAGCGGTCAGGGTGACGACCTGGCTGACTGCGCATAAAGTATTTTCACCTGAAACAAATTCAATGTCATTATGATTATCATTATCATTATCAGCTGAGTTTAACATTGACTAGGCTACAGTGATCTATGCTGCATTCAGATGAGTGAGCTGCACGGATCATCAATCTCAGTTCTAATCTCAGAATTTATGTGCACTGCTATTGCTTCCCACGGCGTAAAATGGGAGCATACGATAGTGATACTGTATTATATTCTATAGTTAAATATTCGTATAGTTAAATATTGCATATATCATATTCTAATTACGCATATATCATAATATAATTATGATATATGTACATATATAACAGAATGACTTTAACATGGGATATGAGCTGCCTATGATGATGGTGATGATTCTCGTATTCATATGTGTTACTGTATATTAGATTTTGCTGAATACATTATCATTATCAGCAAAGTTTAATATGTATTTATTATTTGAGAGAATATTTGTAAATTTCATTTTCTTCAATTTATTTCTTAATTTTTTTTAATTGCTTAACTTTTCTAATTATAATTAAATCTTATTCTATGTTATCTTACATATTATAATTTACAATTGAATATTACACTTGGTTTGTGACTTGTATTATTATTATATATCTCCTATCTATTTAGCTTTATATTTGAGCTACTGATAGGTAATCAAGATTTGAATATTCTAATATTATTATACAACATTTTATTATTCACATTCTTAGACTTTAGTGTTCTATATTCTGGTCAAATTAAATGAGAATTCCTATAATCGAGCTAAATGCGCATCTGAATTCTTGCTCAGTATTTATGCCTATCTGCAGCAAAATTCAATATTAGAAGTCAACCGTTTCCTGAAAAGTATGCAACAAATAAATACAATATATTTATATTTACTGAGAAACACAGCCGAGACAACATCAAGTTTCTATATATCTGAATATTTCTTATTCATTTAAATAAATTTTCTTCACTGTGCCTCAAAAACCCGAACCCTATATTCAACAACGTTTAAGAACTTGTTTTTCGTTTTAGTTTTGCATATTTCTCTGATAAAAGTTACCTAAGTCATTTCCATACTTTTCTGTTACATTACCAGACGAATAGAATCGATTACAGAAAATTCCCACATTCAGTGAACTTTGTCAAGTTGCCATCGACTGTTATTAGGCATGAAGTATTGCGACAACAGGAAGCATCGCCTGATTTGTTTAGATTTTGCACAGTCAGTGTTCTATTAGCTAACTCTCAGATCTCTGGAAACCCTCAATCAAGCTTATATGATAGGTATGCCATGCCGTGCCTCCTTTCAAGCGCAAATAGCAACGCAAATATGCCACTTAAGTATTAGCCAAGAGTAGCTGTTCGCATGGGCGTGTTTATGATTGAAACCAAATTAATAACTTGACCATATTCGCGTGTTATTAGCGACAACAACCGTTCGAGAAATTTCTAAACGGCGAGGTAAACCATACGAAAAAAAAAAGACTTGAACTCTTAACAAAAATCAAAATGACCAAAATAAGAAATACGAAAAAGAAAAAAAAAAATGTTGACGCTTGCATGCAAAATTGAAGGTGATTGGGTTTTTAGTGAATGCCCCAAGATACAAAATAATAAAAAAAAATAAAAATAAAAAAAAATACAAAATATACAACAAAACCAAAAAACGAATAACAACAAAAGCCACAACAAGAAAAAATATAAAACACGGTGTCTGCCGACTGTCGAGCGATGCTGTTGCTGCTGCTATTGTTGTTGTTGTTGTTGTTGAGTTACAGACGACACAAACTCGATTCAAAATGCGTATTTCGCCGATGGCGCAAAGTGCGCATTGAAAAATATCTTAAAGTTTTCCATAATAATGATGCTGATTGCTGATGGAGTTGCTACAGCAACAGCAACAGCAACAGCTGTTGTAGTGGTGTACCACGCGCCGTATGAGTAATGTGTGCCTTTGCGGTGCCAGCCAATGGTATTTCCCCAAAATGCGCGAAACGGCGCAAGTGGAACTGCAAAAACTGGTTTACAACAGTTTCGGGCTTTAGATCAGCAGCGTAGCTAAAGCTAAAGAAGCCGCAGCTAAGGCAGTCGCCGTCGCCGCCTCCACCGTCGCCGCCGCCGTTGCCGCCTCAGCAGACCGGCTCACAACAAACACAGCAAGAGCAACAGCTGAGCGCGTGCTAAACGTGATCTGTCGCGTAACGTAAAGCGCCAATGCTAACGTAACGTAACACCAGCACCAGCACACACACAGAGGCAGAGAGAGAGAGAGAGAGAGAGAGAGAGAGAGAGGGAGAGAGAGCGAGAGCGAGAGCACTCACAACCTAGAGCAAAGAGCGAGCGCGTGAGAGAACGAAACGCAACTACTATTTGTAGTTGGCGGACAGGTAAACGTTCGTACTAAAAAACTCGTACTGCAAAACGAAAAGGCAAAGCAAAAAATCAAATCAAATACAAAATTCAAGACAAGAAAAAAAAAAAACAAAAAAATCAGAAACTTTTAGCCGTAACTTTACCTGGTGCGGCGATCGCACGTCCGGGTTTTCATTCATAAGCGAGCAACGCCAGCGAACAGACGCATACGCGCTTTGGCCAACAACCAGCTGGGACACCACCTAGAAAGAATTAAGATATCAAATGCAAAACAAGTCTATCAATGTTATTTAAAGTTAGTATATATATACATATTAAGCAAGCAAGCAAGCAATCAAGCAAGTGGTAATTGATCCCCAAGGAGCTAATGCAGCAAAAGCAATAAAGTTTTTAAGTGCCAAAAGCCGAAACAAGAATTAACAAGAATTTAAAAAGAAAAACAAAGCTAAAGAAAAGCAACACAAGTCAAGTGCTTGAAGTGTACCAAAAGTGTACGAGATCTATAAACAATTTATGCCATTTATATGCCTATGCAAACATTATGAAGGACTTTGGTAAAATGTTCTCGCGTCGCTATAGTGCCGTCTGTGTCAGCGACGAGGAGGCGGGCGTGAATGCGAATCTGCCCAATCAGGGGGCAACAAACGCAGCCGCCACCGCCGCCGCCGTCGTCGCCACAGTGCAGAAACCAATCCAAACTTCAGCTGCAGCTGCAGCTGCTGCCACATCCTTGCCAGAGGTCGATTCCGTTGCAGCCGCAGCGGCGTTGGCGGCGCTACAGCGCGCCCAGCGCCGCAAGAGCCTCAAGGCAAATCGCTCCATGAAGCCCATGGACATATTGGGCAGCTTCTTCGATGAGCGGCAACCTGGCAAGCACAATGCACGCTCGCCCACACGTAAGTTCAGACAATAAACAAAAAAAAAAAAAAACACGCACACACACCAATAAGTTAATCCAATCGAAAAGGTGTTTAAATAATTATGAGTTAAAGTGCAAAAGTATTTAACGTCTGAGAGCTTCTCGAAGATTCCAAAAGAAATATTATAATATTCATCAATCATCAATCGATTACCGAAAATAGAAAAAAAAAAACCGGCTGAACGCATCTTTTGTCGCTTCGCTTTGGTCTGCATTAATTATGAAAATTTTGCTGCCGCGTTTAAAAACGCGTCACACCAAAACGCCATACGGAACAAATATCTTGATGCTGTTTAACATAGCACTTTATGTTTTGTTGGTGTAGTTTTTTTTTTTGTCTACTCGCTGTTGATTAAATAAGCAACTCTTTGACACTGACACAGTTTTCTATTCATCTTTTGGTTTCAAAAGTTTTTGGCCATAATTTCGTGGTAGTCCTCGTCGCCTCCAATAGATAGCATCGTAAAGCAAAACGCGCCCAAAACGCGTCTCGCACTTGGCCAATGCACGCGATCTGGCCAGGCAACGTTTTGACCCTGAACTTGACCATATGCTTGCCATAAAAGCCTAGAAGCCGAGCCAAGCGGGCAATACAAGTTTGTGTTTGTTGCAGTTGCCGCGCGGCTAGCGAGCGTTTTAAAACGCGCGCGACTTTCAACAATTGCATTCGAGGTAGTTGAGAAGTAACGGCTTCTATTCGCCACATTGTGACCTCTAGATAACATTTTTGTCGTCACCTTCATCGAGCCATATATATTCACCTATGTATGTATATAATGTGTATATATCATTATATATGCTGAAAATACGCTGAAAAACTCGCGCGGGTTTCTTTCAAAAGTCAAGAACAACACGAATTCGCACATTTCTCGTTGACTGCGCTTATTTACACAGTAGATTAAGCAAAAGTGGAAGATATCTACGAAGACGTTGTCAAAAAATCAGCAGAAGCTCTTCTTGTGCATGTTAATATATATATACATATATATATTACAGCTGTTGTAGCTTCCCGAATGAAAATAAACAAATATATCAGAATACGCTGAAAAGAGTTAAAAATAATAGAAAATAAAAAGAAAAAAAAAAAAAAAACAACAACAAAAAAACAATTGAACGCAATTAGTTGATTATTTACTTCCTTATAAATGTTGGCAACAAAATTTTGAGTAATCAAATT